AATGAATACATCCTCCAGTTATTCCAGGCAGTACATTTGTTCGACAAGATTAAATAATAAATGCATTTCCAAGTTGACACAAAGAAGTGAATTCTATTTACTAATGTAGTCCTAGATCCCAACTTTCAATATCACTTGGATACCTAAGAGCAAATAATTTTAAAGGCCCAATAATCATAGTTTATATTTAGATTGTTTGCCTGTTAAGACCCAGCATGTAAAGATGTCAAGGTATTATACTTTTTGCAGGTTATGTTGTCTTAAGCAAGAAAATGCACGAATGATTCCAATGCCCTAAGATTAGAATTTCCGATGTCTCATTCTGCAGTGAATACTTCAAACTTAGGCAAATACTACAAAGATGGATAGAAATAGTTGAATTGCCTCTTAATAGTCTTACTTCACTTCAGGCCTTTAATGTCTGAAGTTTTTTGTTCTTGGGGATGAAAGTAAAGATATAATTTAATTAAGGCACATCCATATAGTAAACAGCCATTTTAATTGATTCCCCTCTTAATCACAATAAAATATTTTTATGACATTTCAAACATAGGGATATTTAGTTTCCTCTTCTTGTATGTAAGCAATTTCATAAATGCTGGCTCTTTTCGAGTTACATTGCCTATAAAAAATGTATAGAAACTCTCTTCTAGAATCGGAATCCAGCTCCTAGATAACACAAATGGGAAGTCATGACCCATATGTCTCTTACACTTGCTAGACCCCAGATAAGACTTCCCTGAAGGTACACCTAGAGGTGTGAGAAGTCAGAATGAATGGCTGAGTTCCATCACCCTGCGCACACAGCAGGTATTTCAACCTTAAAAATGTGCAGCACTTACTCTCAAATGTCCCATACAGAACACTCACTTGATAAATTCCTTATTACAGTCTCTGTGATCATGAGAATCACTGTCATTTTCTACTTATATCAACCTAAAAATAAAAGCAATTATACATGAAGATAAAACTACTTTAAAAATCATACCTACAAGTAAAAAAATACATGATTGTGTTCACAGAGCTCCAAAGGAATATTTGTTTTTCATCACTATTGGGGTATTTTTCATGGGAATTTGTGGGAAACTCAGTAAAAAAATCATCACCAGGTCACCAAAAGAAAGTGACCAAAAGAGACTGAAAATGAATTTGGCAAAGCTAAGTTAGGACAATGAAAACATTGCAAGTCAAAAAAAAAATTTGAGGTTTGGAAAGTACAGGCTGAAAAAATAACACGTGAGCTTATACTTAAGTATCTAAAAAGTGTTCATAAAAACCATAAAGTTGTGCTCACTGGGAGATAATAAGACATTAGTCAGGAGCCTGGCTCTGCAATCAGACAGAGCTAGCTACAACCGGCTACTACGTTACTCACAAACTGTGTAATCTTAGGGAAGTTACCCAACCTCACTGTTTCCCTCTCCTGAGCTATAAAATGGACACAAATTCCATACTGGTGAATATAGGAATTTAACAAGGGCCAAAATGGAAGAAATGCAGCACAGAAAGACAGCCTCATGAAAGAACAGAGAATATCTAAAATATGTTTAAGAGATGAAAAAGCAGAGAGACTGTGACAAAGGCAGTATTTGAAGTGATGAAAGGCTTCGATCTTATTTTAAAAGCCCCCAAGTCTCAAGCAGAATAATTGTTTAAAAAGTGTGTCATGCAAACAGAAGACTATCAAAGACATGGAAGAAATCCTGAACAGCAGCCTACAAAAAAAGGCATATCTATAAGTAAGTGACAATGAGAGTGGCAGCTGACTTCTCAACACTAACAATGGAGGTCAGCCAACAAAAGAATGGTAACTACAACGTATTGAAATAACTATCAACCCAGAATGCTATACACCACAGAAATATTGATAAAGAATGAGGACATTCTTTACAGTTGAAGATGATTAAAAAGATAAATTTTATGTTATGTGTATTTTGCCACAACTTTAAAAAAATTAAAACTGTAACATACCAAAAATCGAGTTGAGCGTGTGGTATGTTAATTATCTCAATAAAACTGTTAGAAAAAAATATGGGCACAATTTTTTTTAAGTTTTCAGACAGATACCCTTACTAAATTCTAAAGAATGCATTTTAGGGAAAAGGAAAAAGGTGATAAAATACATGGGGGTAAGTCTAATAAACAAGGACTATTTATAATAATAATATAGTATGAAGTTTAAAAAATGAAATTAAATACATTACCATAGTATCTCACTTGAAAGCATGTTGTTAGTGTTTTATAAGGTCCTTGAGTAGTCTGAGAGTAAAAAGTACTAACTTTTAACTTGGATAAATTAGCATGCGAGATGTAATTTCTAGGGACTCAACAAGATGAGAAAGAGTGCTTAAGTTTCAAGTAGTAGAAGACATGAAATTATTTTAAAATGTGAACAAAGGCAAGAAAGTGAAGACAAAGAGTATTAATAAAGACTTGTACCCAAATGTAGACTAATTATATTACATGAACTTTGTCTAGTCACAGCCGGTTGCTCAGCTGGTTGGAGAGTCATCCCGCGCACTAAAAGGTTATGGGTTCTATCCCCAGTCAAGGCACATACCTAGGTTGTAGATCTAATCCCTGGTCAGGGAGTGTACAGGAGGCATATGATTGATGTCTCTCTCTCCTCTCTGTTTCCCTTCCTCTCTCTAAAATCAGTAATTATATCCTCAGGCAAAGATATAAAATTTGTCTAAATTTAAGGATTGTAGTTAGTTTCTTTAAAAAATAATCCAGCTGCATGCTGTTTATAAGGGACACAATTAAAATACAAGTATACAGAAAGATTGCAAACAAATACAAGAGAGTGACATTTCATAATGATAAAATAAAATAAAGGCGGCAAGGAGTGAGAGAAGAAATAAGAATTGGAAAGGATATCATGTATACTGCCCTACTGCTTTTAACAAATAACCCCAGAACGAAGTGGTATAAAACAACAAATATTTATTATCTCATAGTTTCTGTGGGTCTGAAATCCAGGCAGGGCTTAGTTAAATGCTCTGGCTAGGGCCTCACCCAGGCTGCGATTAAGGTGTTAGCTAACTTTATCTCAAGGCCTGACCAAAGGAGATCCCACTTCTAAGGTCACTCACGAGGCTGTTGGCAAGCCTCCAAAGATCCGCCTCCAAGGCCACTCGCACAGCTGTCAGTCGGCCTCACGTCTTCCCTGGCTATTGGGGAGAGACATCGGTTCCTTGCCTGATGGGCCTCTCCACTGGGCAGCGCCCAACAGATCAGCTGGCTTTCCTCGGAGCAAGCCAGGGAGAGTGTGAGAGAGGGTAAGCAAGATGAAAGCCAGAGCCTTTCGCAGTCTATTCTCAGAAGTGATATGCCACCACTTTTTGTCATATTAAATTTGTTATGTGTGTCACGAGATCCAACCCACACCACACTCAGGGAGATGACACAACAGCATAAGGACCAAGAGGCAGGGATTTGGGGACATTTTAGATGCTGTCAACCACAGAAATAAAATCCAAAGTCTTTGTCTGCTTGTATGTAATGAATGTAGAAAATTCAAAAGAATCATACCAGATGCTTAAAATAGGAGTCTAGCAAAGCTGTTGGGTATAAAAATCAGTACACAAAATATATTACACACACACACGTATAGTACACAACAAACAGAGAATGAGAATTTTAAAATAACCTTATTTATAATAGAATCAAACATCTAGGTTCCTATCAATTAAATAGTAACTATTGAAGCTAGGTATGAGTACTATTACCTTTACTTTTACATATATTTGAAAATTTTAGTACCTACATTTTTTTAAACAAAACTAATACTAAAAAATTTTAGTACCTACATTTTTTAAACAAAACTAAAATGTTTTTTAAGTCTAAAAAACATTTACAAACTTGACAAATAAGTTTAAATATTCTTCTCACTTATTCTAAATAAATGAAGGTATAAACTATGTTCATGGACTAGAAGACTTAATACTGTAAAGATAGCAAGTCTCTGCAAGTTGATTTATAAATTTAATACAATCAAAGTCAAAATCTTAAGCTGTGTGTTTGTGCATATGTTTAGTTTGATAATCTGATATCAAAATTTCAACAAAAGTCGAAAAAGTAAAACAATATTCAGAAATAGTCTTAACTGTTATTAACAATGAAAAGTAAAATCATAATGAGATTCGCCCACCACAGGGACAATTCAAACTCTGACAACGGTGAGTTTTGGTGTGGATGTTAAGGGAAAACTCATACACTGCTGACGGAGGGTTAATTGGTACAACCACTTTGAAAAATTGGTTTTATCCATTTTTCAATTTCACACTTAGGTGATGGTGATGTTTTGTGATATCTCCATAAGTATGTTATACTTAAAAGAAAAGTAACATTAAGGAGAAAAGAGAAAACTAACACACATTTCCAAAGATAAACCAGGACAGGAGACTCTGGACAGTAAACTTGACTTTGGAGAGCACACTGAGTAAAAAGTACACTTGGTCTTTCCTCCAACAGATTTCCAAGGTTTGAGAATAAATACAAAAACACTAAAAACTCCTGTTACTTTATATATTTGCAAAGTAAGGTGGGACCCAAACTAGTACAAATACTTTTGTCCATTTGGATGTAAGCAAAATCTGAGTCAGTTGTCAGAGGCATGTTGCTACAGAAGACCATGGGCAAATCCCCAGGCAGGGCAAAACCACAAAGAGCAGAGCAGGGCCATCAGTGACTTCACTCTCGTTTTGGGGTAGTTGCTCTCAGAAGCCTTCGAGAGGGTACATAATCCGTGTTCCACTATTTGCAAAAGCACAAAGCAAAGCAAAAGAAATGAACAGAGCACCCTCCCAAAGGCTGGTACGAACCCCAAATCTCACTTCTTCTTGTATCATAGAAAGAAGTAACTAATCTGAGAACAGGGAGCAAGGCAATTGATATTAAGTATCCAAGGACACTCTCTAACTTAAATAAATGCCCCCACAAAAAAAAAAAAAAAGAAACACCATGTAAAAAAATTTTTAAACAGTATTTATTTACATTCTACTTACTTTGAAAAGGATGAAGTTGGGGGAAATATGCACACATATATAAAGAAGGCGGCCTCACGGGTTTTTACTTAACCCGTTTGTGTTTTTCATGAACAAAGATTTGACTTAGAATCACATGTCTAAAGGGACACATTCAGTTTTCCATTTCTAGCCAAGACTGAAATTATACCACCGCAGACACATGGAAATCTACTCAGCTCACAGGTAAACACCAACTAATGCATGTGTCACAAAAGAACCAGTTTTGGTCAAATCTGTCACAGCACCCAACAAATTGCCAATGAAACACACAGTCATCATAACGCAGAACATTTCAAAATCTTTCTGCAACAATGAGAAACAAAATTTACACGGGAAACATCATGACTGACTATTAAGTCAACAGCACCACAGTGACCATGGTAACAGCGCCCAGCGCCGTATTCAAGTGTGTGTACCATTTCCAAGACTTGGTTACAACAAAGACAACAAGAACTACACGTGGAAATGAATACACAAATATTTCATAAACACCGTGAGAAATAACAAAAAAATACCCTTGACTTTTCAAATATTTATAAACATGTTAACATGACCACATATATATATATTCATTTAATGTTTAACTGATTTGTACACTTTCAAAATAGCACTGAGTTTTAGAAAAACACTGGGAAAGGCTCAAAGGAAATTTTGTGAGGTCAGTTCACATTGGTATTTCAGTAGTCTCTAGCTCTGCCAGCTGTGGAGATGTTACATCCGAAAACTTCGAGTTCTTTGGAACGGCTGGAAGGGGTTTTTCAGTGCCCACGTTAGGAGCTGTGGTTTTGGTTTTGGTTTTTCAGGAAACAGAAGTGCTTCACTTTCTGGTGTCGGAAATCGTTCTCGGTAGACTTCAGGGTAGGATTTTTGAAACTACACACAAAAAAAAACAATGATCCACATTGAATCCATCATACAGATAAGAGCCAATAAAATTGGGCAATCTAATTTTAAAAGCTTCTGATTCCCTAATTTCCTATTTTTGCTTTGCTTTAATGTTTATTGTTTTCCATCAGAAAAGAGAACAAAGTAGAAAACATATCACAATCAACTTTACTTCAACACAAATCCATTTGTTTGTTAAATCATTTGATTACATTTTCAATGTATCTAACGCATCTTTATTCAAATAAACTTCTCGTTTAAGTAACATTTCTTAAAACTTCCCCCACTGCCAACAATAAGTAAAGCTTACTTTTAAAATAGGCACAGGTAATCTGACTTGAAAATAACTTACATTCTAAACAAAAGAAAATTTTGGTCCAACGACATTTCAACCTTTCTCTGCATCTCCAACTCAGGCCCTGCTTCTGCCCAGATGAAGACATTTTGGTTTATATTTTACTACGAAAAGCTTCAAAAGAGGCAATAAGTTGTTCCTCACCATTGAACGCTTCTTCAGAATCACTGAGAAAAATATGACTGGGAATCTAGAACTCTGATGCTCTGTCTATTATAATAGAGAATTTAAAAACACATAAGAACAATAGGAAGAAGATAGGACTAATAAAGAATATTCTTTTTACCTGCTTCAGTTTTTTCTTCTTCTCTTTGTTAGAGAGCTTGGCATCTGTTATAACTTCCTCCAACAAGTCTGCCAGAGGTTCCTGAGAGCCATATGCTCTTTGGTACTCAAATTCCTCTGGACTGATTTGACGGCAAAATGATGGAGCAGATAAAGTGATGTCCATGTCAGCTCCAGGGTACTTTATCTGAGGCAGAAAAATTAATAGTGAAGGAAAAAATTGTATTTTCAAATAAATTACAAAAGCTTGCTCAGATCACACACAGAATATTTCCTACAAGGAGTGGCATGCCATTTCTCAGTTCCACGGGGGAAAACTCCACATCAAAGTGCAAGTGCTTCCAGAACTTAAAAAAAATTACTTAATGTCACAGTTTTAAAAGTGATTTTTACCTTTTTAAACCCAAGAGCCATTTTAATAAACCAAATACCCTCTTAATTAATAAGGTCTGAAGTTGAAACATAAACTGAACATGTTGGCTATAAACAATTCAAAACAGAGACAATGTTGGACACACAGTGAATTATCCAGGTTCCTGCCCCCACCTGAAGAGCCCAGTCCTCCCTCCCTTGGGGATGCACAGAGGTGCTCCTAGCTCAGCTGTCACATGGAGGAAGTACTGCAACTTTCTTCCAAACACGTCAATAGTGGGAATCGGGTGCAAACAACAAATGTGCAGACAATGCACAGGACAAAGGGAAAAGAGGGAAATGAGAGGAAGGATGATACCAAGACCTGTGAACACATGAGAACCCATTAAAAATAATTAATTTTAGCCCTGGCTGGTGTGGCTCAGTTGGTTGGAGGGTCGTCTGGTAGATCAGAAGGCCACAGGTACAGTTCCTGGTCAGGGCACATGCTGGGGTTGTGGGTTTGGTCCCCAGTCACAGCACATGTGAGAGTCAGCTGATGGATGTTTCAGTCTCACATTGATGTTTCTCAACCTCCCTTCCTCCCTGCCCCCCTCTCTAAAATAAATAAGCATGTCCTCGGTGAGGATGAAAAAATTGTTTAATTCCAGAGTCCAAGAGGGTCATCTTCTCAAAAAGACACCACCTATTGTTCTCCTGCAGCGGATAAAATTGCTACTATTACATTCACTTCTTTGGCTTAAGATTTTTTTTTCCAGAAGCCACAGTTAAAAGATAAATATTGCCCAGAAGAGTTGAAATAGCAGGACAGGGCAGGAGTAAAGTGTGAGTCCTAGGTACAAGGTGACAGGCAGAGCCTAGGACAGGAGAAACACTCTAGACACCTGTGATTAAAGGGCACAGAAGGCAGAAGAGGATTGCAAACAAGGTTGATAGAAAGTTAGTGTAAAAAACCAGTGCCAACCTCACAGTTGATCTCTCCTGGAATCAGCCCGAAGCTGCCCCCGACAGTTCACCAGAACAGCTCATGGAACCCCCACTCGCTCTCAGAGAAGCGTTGTCCTACATGTGTCACGACACAGGGGCTAAGCAGTCTACACAGACAACAGAGATCTACAGGAGTTAAGCGCTAAAACAAACAGCTCTGTGGCAATTCCACTGGATAATTCTAAGAGAGAAAATGTCATTGGACAATTGAGCAGTTACTGATTTTATTCAGTGCCATCATGGCTAAATTAATCTTCACAGCTCGGCCTGCTGATCTTCCACTGACAGCAAAGGGCTGACGAGTACAAGTTGCTGCAACAGATGCCAGTGCTATAAGAGCACACAAACCCGGCCACTGCACCACGCAGCGCAGCCCTGGCAACCACTTTTCCTTGCAGAAATGCAATGAAGTGTTTCTTTTTGTTTATTTTTTAAAATTTGACTCAGAAATATATCAAGGAGGGGCAGGGATATTAAAATAAAACAGCAGTTAAGGTTACACTTTTCACCTGTTGAAATGGCAAAGGTGTATATTTTAATGACAATACCCAAAGTAGGAAAGGATGCAAAGAAATGAATACTGTCTATGTGTTGAGACACATGGACAATAAACTAAAGGGGGGGGTAATTGTGGGGATGGGGGGGTAGGGTGGAGGAGAATTAAGGGGGGGAATAGAACAACTATAACAGCATAATCGATAAAAAAATTTTTTTAAAGATTAAAAAATAAATAAATTGGGAAAAAAAAAAAAGAAATGAATACTGTCTTGTACTACTAATGGAAATATAAATTGGAATGATCGTTCTAAAGGCAAATTTGGCAATATGCAACCAACACTTAAAATACATTCATGGCCTTTACCATGCAATCCTGCTCCTAGGAATTTAGTCTTAGAAAATAATCATGGATCAACCCCCCCCCAAAAAAACCTGGCTATAAAAACATTTACTGTCATGTTGCTCACAAAAGAAAAAATGGAAACAATTTAAATACCAACCATAGTAAATCATTTAAATAAATTATGGTATAAGCATATTGTGGAACATTGTGTTACCAATAGCAATGACACTGTGGAATAACAATGACAATAAAACTACCAACTGAGACCTTACTACGTGATAAACATTATTCTAAGCACTTGACACTTTAAACCATTCAATACCCAAAGCAACCTGGAAGGCAGATATTAACTATTATCAGCCCATTGGACAAATGAAGAAAGAGAGTTGTTGGGACAGATGCCAAAGCAGAAACGCGTTACATAATGGGCCCAAAGTCGCACAGCTAATAAAGGACATGCCAGGAATTCAAACACCTTCTAGCTCCAGTCTGTGTTCTTGGCCACTCTAGTGTCAAAGAATAACATATAATGATGTGGGAAATTTTTCTTGTATAAAAATAAGTTACGACAGACACAGAAGAGAAGGGGAGAGGAGAGGAGAGTGGGAGAGAGGAAAGGAGGGGGAGGGGAAGGGAGAAAGAAGAAAGAAAAAAAGATAACAAAAGTACCTGAAAGACTAATATTGACAGAACATTTAGTGTAACTCTGATATTTTTGGTGTGTATTTTCTATACTTTCCAAATTCCTTCAATGTATTAGGTTAATAATGATCAAAATAGAAAAAAAAAACCCTTCATTTTAACTTTAAAATTGCTCACTGGAAACAGCTAGACAGCTGTTTCTTTTACTAATACGTTGGAAGGGGGCAGTTCCCTGGGCCTTAAATGAGGAACCTCAAAAAGTGCTTAGGCGAAGAGTCCAACCATGCAGAAGGAACCAAGCAGAATTTCTGCCAGAAGACTTCTTACCAAAAGTTTCTGCTTTTCTACTTCCACAGTCTGACACACAAACCTCACTGTGGGGTCCACATAATAGTAATACACTGCATTTCTTTTGCATTATTTCAATACAACAATAGCAACAACAATAATGACACTCCCTTTCAAAGAGTACCTGCCATGTGTCAGACACTGTGCAAAGGGCTTGCAGTAATGCAGTGTAGTGTTACACTGTATAACACTTCCCAACAACATTCTACAGTACACATGGCCCATTTTAACCCTATGGGAACTCAAACCTACAGAGGTTCAGTGACATGCCCAGCACCACACAACCTGGAAAGGGGAGAGCCACGAGTCTGACCCAGGTCTTTACGGCCATTGTTCCTCTACCGCACCTCATGGTAAAGTCAGGCAGTGTGGCATGGCAGACAGGGGCACTGATTCCGGAAACTGATCTCATCAGTGTGAATCCTGGCTCTGTGACCTTGGACAAGTTGCTTAAGTCCTCTGTGCTGCAGTTTTCTCATCCGTAAAGTATAAATATTAACATTATCTAGATTGTAGGGCTATCAAGAATCAATACTGTATTTCACAGAAATCATTTCCATCAGGAAGTATATGCAGACTCTGAACAAATTAATTTAAGGAATTTGCAATCAAAAGGATATAGCTTTCACTGATATAACACACCCAAGTAGGCAATCCACAGATTTTCAATAACACATGCATAGTGCTTGCTATGTGTTGAGTCTTGTTGTAAGCGCATGGTACATATTAATTTACTTAATTCTTATAACATAAAGTCCCAAGAAGGCTACCAAGCTTATAGACTTTCTGCCGACAATTTCACAGGATCTAATAATATCCTTTCCTTTACCTGCCCTCTTCGTAGGTGAGCTACATGCTCCTCAATGGAGGTCTGCAAGGCCAAAGGGACTTTCAGAATCTCTTGGTAATTGTCCATCAGAAACGTCACCAACCTAGCAGCTAATAACTCATCCAAGTCCACTTCATCCTTGGAACACAAGATGCAACGGGAAAATGTCTGAATCATCTAAAAAAAAAAAGGTGGGGGAATTTTTAAATAAATACAGATGACTTTTTTCCCGCCTCTGAGGTGAGTGCAATCTACTTTGCAAAATACAAAATGACTAGTCAGTGAGAAACGGCACACAGCACAGGGTGCACATCCCGCCTGACCTGTGGCTGTACCCGGTCATCTCGGATGGGCTGATTTTCTCATTAATCAGCACGAACAGAATGTGCATCGCATCTCACAGAGACTTAGCAGAGATGCTTTTCTGAATAGCTTCTAAACCCCTTTCACAGATGGCTTTAAATATGTATGTACACACATATTTTTAAACAAATTCTGAAAATTATCATTACCAAATGACCTGGACCACATAGTACTCTTAAGTTTGGTGCCACTAAATCTGATAATACTTTCATTTTATTATTGATTTTTTTTTAAAAAAGATCTACTAGCACAGTCTGTGTTCCTCAACTGTTACATATTCTCCTATTTAACTGTTATTTCCTCTAGGACTTTTGAATGTACACTTGACAGTCACCTTTGTAGAAAACCATGAGACATTACAAGAAGTGCATTAAGTGATGAGACTATGGAAAGCAGAGATATAAAAAGTATTATAGCAGCTGCTTCCATAGAATTCATATTAACTACTCCATTTTTAATTCTGTCATTTGGAGGGACTTCTTTTTTCCTTTCTCACTAATCTTATTGCTGACAATCTTATTTCAAAGCCTATAAGCATGTAATTCTATTTAGTAAGATGTCACTTTATCAACACTGCAGGTAATACTTTATCTTCACTCACATTTATATGTACACAGATTCTATACCGGAAGACTATGGAGCCCAGGAAATCCATGAATGCCTTGAAATTGTATGCAAAATTTTACACATGCAATCTTCTGGAGAATAAGTGCAAACATTTCTTCAGTGTTTCAGAAAGGTTCATTAGCTTACCTATCAATGCAGCCCCACCCCCAAAAAAAGGTCAAGAATCCCTCCAATGGGCACCGAACCCTTCCCTAACCTTACTCCCCACTTCTCAGACTGGGCCAGTGGACTCCCAGGGGTACACAGGGGTTCACCAGGATGTGAAAAAAATATATACATACCAATGAAGTATCAATTTTACTCCAAGACTTGTCTTTGAGAGAAATTAAAGAATTTAGCTAGTAAGCAATTCTAAACATAAATCCTATTTTAAAACATTCAGACATTACAAAGTAGAATTCAAAGTTACTCAATTTTAAACAGAATTCAGACTATTTTACAAAAACCCTCACTCACGGACCCTTAGATGATAACCCGGGACATACTAGTTCTCTTTCCCCTTTCAAACTGTCTCGTCCAACTCTGTATTTTACTTCTTCCCAATTTTACTCCACTTACATATGCTGCAGGCTTTACAACACTTTCTGACCTGGAGAAGAGACTGCTGTTTTCTCGAGAGATCCCTTAGCCCTCTGTCCACTCTCCCTTCTCTTTGGGTTGACAGTAGGCAGGATAGCACAGATATCTCGGCACTAAGGAGCCTACCTCTACTCACTCTTTGCTTTCCCTTATGTTCTTTAAGACCCTAGGATCAAAAGCACAATAGCAGTCTGGGTGGATTCCAAGCCACAGCTCTTGAAGCAAGTCTGCCAGGTACCTTCCTCTGGTTGCCAAGCTAGTGAACTTTATTACTCAGGTGAATCTTATTCCAAAAACTCAAGCCACATTAGATATTAGAAATCAGCTCACCAGTGTTCGGGTGCCAAGGCCATCACCAAGTGGTGGCATCTCCTTATTTAAGCAGATCCTTGTCATCATCTTCATCAACAGCTGTAACTTTCTCCTATTTTCAGGGGGCAAGAGGAGGCAGCAAATCTGAAATGCTTCGATAGCCATTTTCTCTTCCTGTAATAAACCTGATTTACAGAGGAAAATTTTAATCTTTAAAAACCTATACCTATTTGACTCTCTCGTGTTAACATTTTTACAAAATATATATTACTAAAATTACATAGAAATGTTGACATATTCAACTATACTGGGTCAATTCATTAAACAATAGATCCACTGTCACTCACAACGCAGCACAGAAAGTGCAAACCATCTAGTGTTCGCAAATATATAGAACAAACACAGCCACTCCCCCTCCACACCCTTGATAGATGGAACTAAACTCTCATAGCATTCTTTCCCACTGAACCAAGCAAGAGCAGTCAGACTGAGCCTAACCTACCCCCCAAAACTCACACTGTTGAGGTCCAAGACAACAGGAGCAAGACATGAATGTGCCATCAATGCCCTGAGTTCTCCCCCTTGTACTATTTCCTCATGACGAGCCGATTACCATCCTACATGATTCTCAAAGACTGAATAATAGACCTAATACTCTTATGGGTCAGGCCACTCCCAAATGGCTCTGCTTCTTTCTAAATAACACCTGTCCAGTACTCCTTCCTCCCACTTAAGCTATTTTTTTTTCTAGTTAAGGGGGCTGATTCAATTGTGTTCCATGCCATCCCTCCTCACCCAGTATGATTTTGCTAAAAACTAGGGTATTTTAATATCATGCACTCCCTCTTTGTCCCTGGACACAGCCATTCCAAGACCACTAGAGATGAAACTACTTTCACCAATTTACTGGTTGGGATCCAACCTTTTCAAGTTTCTAGTCTCTGACTTGCAGGCAAAACCATCTTTTCCATTTTCTGACCATGAATGATATAATAGGAACTATGGTCCTGGAATTACAAAAATATGCCAGCTTCCTTCCTTTGAAGAGTGTATGCACTCTGAGAAGGAGAGACTCACAAAAATATAAATGACAAAATGTAAATGTAAGGAGTGATGCAAGAAACATCTGCAAGGGGCATATTAGGGGAACTATAAGTCACTCAACATGAATGCAGCACAGACTGTGAGGTAAGGGCTTAGTATAGAAGCGAAGCTAAAAATACTAGCAGTGACGAGATCTAAGAAATCCTTGAATGGCAGATTAAGGAGCTTGGGTTTGATCCCAAAGACCATGGATGTGCATTGAGAGAAAGGGGGCTGGAAGAGGGAGCTTTTATATACCAAGTTCGGATCCTAAATGTTCACCAGAAATATTGCTGTGGGTTATTATTATCAGTTATGTAAATCTGCTTTCAATTCAACATAATCAAATCCATGAAAAGGAAAAATGTTTATGACCGTATTTTAATTCTTTCATGTATCTAAAAAATATTTATTAACCCATGCCTATATTCCAGGGACTGTTTCAAAAAGAATACTCTGAGGAATGCAATGAAATCCTGTCTGATCTCATGAAGCTCCAATTCCAGCAGATAATAAGCAAAAAGGTATATAAATATGATCTAAGGTGGAAAAATGCCATGAAGAAAATAAAGGACAGGAGCTGTGGGTGATGGGAAAAACTTCCATCTGAAAGAATGACAGTAAGCCAGCGAAATAGCAAGAGACAAATTTCAATGCAGAGGAAATATCAATTATAAAGATTTTCATGTGGGAGTATGTTTGAGGTCTTTGAGGAACAGCAGTGAGGCCTGTGTGAAGAGAGAATAGGGTGTAATGAATATTCAATCAGAAATGAGGTTAGAGAGGAAGCCAAGAGGCACACAGAACCTTGTTGACTACTACTAATGACTTTGGATTTTATTATAAGTGACCTGAGAAGTCACTGGAGAATTCCGAGTTTTGTGTGTGTAATATATATATATATATTACATATACACATATATACAAGGACTTCTGTACTAAGCCTTGTAGAGGAGTCTGGAAAAAGTCCCAGTCGTTAATACAATGAGAATGGTTTGTGCAACATCAATATAACCTGGCAGCCAAAGAGAGTGAACTGGAATGGGCATGCATGAACAATGACAACTTCACTGTACTAGTCAGGGGGGTGGTAGGTACCACTGTGTGAACACATGTACTGTGTGGCCATGGCATTCAAAATGACTGAGCAAGGGGGCTTCTGCCAAGATGGAGGCGTAGGTGGAAACACTTTGTGTCCTCGCACAACCAAATTTAAAAACAACAAAGTTTTAACAACAATAAATGCAACCAAACCACACAGAAATTCGAACAATACAGAGTCCAAAAACAACGAACTGCTCAGCTAAACCGGTGAGAGGGGTGAAGCCAGCAGCAGAGCGGGTCGGGCAAAAAAGATCCCCCGACCCAGGAAGTGAGCAGGCAGCCGAGGGCGGGGATCCCAGGTGCAGGGTAGCTACAGGTGGACCCAGGGAAGAGGCCCAGCTGGCTGTCTGCAGTCGGTCGTGCATTTGCACGCAGATAAGCCAGTGAAGAGATGTGCATTGAGACAGATCAAGCAGGCTCCGGTGGCACAAGGCAGCGGGCTCGCACATTTGCGCTCAGATAAACAGCCGGGGGCGAGTGGTGAGGCAGACTGGGCAAGTGGAGTGGACCGCCATTGCTCCCTCTCTGACCCCGCCCCCACATACAGCGTCACAAACCTGCCACCTGGGTAGCCCCGCCCCGGTGAACATCTAAGGCGCCTCTCCTCATAGGTAACAGGCAGAAACAGATCAAAACATGGCTCAAGAAAAACTCAGAGCCCCAGAGCCAATAAATCTAAGCAATGAAGAAATAGCAAAACTTTCAGATGCACAGTTCAAAACACTGGTGATCAGGATGCTCACAGAACTGGTTGATTTTAGTCACAAATTAGAGGAACATATGAAGGCTAAACTAATTGAAATGAATGGAAATGCACAGGAAACCAATAGTAATGGAAAGAAAACTGGGACTCAAATCAAGGGAGCAGACAAGAAGGAAAAAATGACCAAACAGAAATTCAAAAAAATGAGGAGAGGCTTAGGAACCTCCAGGACATCTTTAAACACTCCAACATCTGAATTATAGGGGTACCAGAAGGGGAAGAGGAACAGCCACCAGTGAAAAACTTATTTGAACAAATAATAAAAGAGAACTTCCCCAGTATAGCAAAGGAAATAGACTTCCAGGAAGTCCAGAAAGCTCATAGAGTCCCAAAGAAGTTGGATCCAAGAAGAAACACACCAAGGCACATCATAATTACATTAGCCAAGATTAAAATGAAGGAGAGAATCCTAGAAGCAGCAAGAGATAAGGGGAAAGTCACCTACAAAGGAGTTCCCATCAGACTGTCAGCTGATTTCTCAAAAGAGAACTTACAAGCAAGAAGGGGCTGGAAAGAGGTATTCCAAGTCATGAAAACCAAAGACCTACAACCAAGATTGCTCTATCCAGCAAAGTTTTCATTTAGAATGGAAGGGCAGATAAAGTGCTTCCCAGATAAGGTCAAATTCAAGGAGTTCATCATCACCAAGCCCTTATTATATGAAATGTTAAAGGGACTTACCTAAGAAAAAGAAGATTAAAAAACACAAACAGTGAAAGGACAGCAAACTCACAGTTATTAACAACCACGCCTAAAACAAAAGCAAATGAAGAGGACAGCTAGATCAGGAGTAAACCATAGAAATGAAGATCGCATGGAGGGTTAGCAACAGGGGACTGGGAGAAGGAGAAGGGGGGAAAAGGTACAGAAAATAAGTAGCATAGACAGTAGATAGAAAATAGGGGGGAGGGTAAGAATAGTAGGGGAAATATGAATCTAAAGAACTTGAGACACATGCTCATAAACTAAAGGGGGGAATGGTGGGGCAGGGGTGTGCAGGGTGGAGGGGAACAGAGGGGGGGAAATAGAACAAATGTAATGGCATAATCAATAAAATAAAAAATATATTTAAAAAAATGACCAAGCAAGTAGAGCAACGAACCTGCATCAATTTTGTGTTAAGCCTGAACAGTCCTCCATGGAAACTACTCGGCTGATTCAGAAGGCCATAGCTATGGGCAGCTGGTGACTGGCAACTTCATCACACCACTATATGTGCTCATGCATCACGTCTTGTGCAGAGATTTTTGGTGAAACATCCAATCAACCAGTTGACTCAGCCCCACTACAGCCCAGATTTGGTGCCCCATATCTTCTGGCTTTCCCCAAAACTAAAATAATCTTTGAAAGGCAAAAGATTTCAGATCATCAGTGAGATTCAGAAAAATACGACGGGGCAGCTGATGGCAATTAGGAGAACTGTGAGGTCTCCAAGTGCCTACTTTGAATGGGACTGAGGTGTCACTGTGCTATGTCCAATGTCTCTTGTATCTTCTTCAGTAAATGTCTCTATTTTTCATAGCACATGGCTGGATACTTTCTAGACAGGCCTCAGGTGTTTTTTATATATACACATATACATGAAACATAGTAAGATAGGTGAAATCTGGTTCTATAATTGGAACAGGGGTTTGTGGGCTAACGGGATAGGAGGCTTCATGGAAAAAGTAGAAAGAGAAATAAATATAGAATTTCATTGCTTCCTGCCAGTTCCAACTGCTACTTCATCCAAACTTTGCATGTTCCTTCTTCCTTGTTATCCACTTACAATCTATTCTCTATACTGGCTGCCAGAATAAAAAGTAATTCGGAAATGAGAGATAAAGGTATTAGCATATAAATGTTACATATTCATAGTATTCTATGTCTACATATTTAAAATAAATAAGAACACAGTGAGGAGAGAAATGGAAAATATAAAAGAGAACTAAATGGATTTTCTAAAGTTGAAAAATACTAAGCCTCAAACATTCATTGGATAAGAACTATAACAAATTAAACACTGCAAAAAAGAAAATAAAAAAACTTAAATACATAGTAATATAAATTAGCCAAAATAGAAGCAATGAGAGAGAAAAAAGATGAACAGAGCTGCAGCAACCTGTAGAAAAATATCAAGTGATTTGGAAAAGAGAAGGAGGTGTAGAAAACATATTTGAAGAAATAATGGCCCAAAAGTTCCCTAACTAGATGAAATCTGTACATAAGCAAATCAAAGAAATTCAATGACTCAAA